CAAAAACTTGCGTTAATAACGTTAACTAATCAAAGTAGTTAACGATCGGCCATCACCACTATAAATTAGCGAAAATATAACGGTTTTTAAAAAACCCATGGCATCCGAATAGGCCCTAAAAGTGGTGGCCTTAAATGTGATACTGAAAGCTTGTCTCAGAGGCAGGATATGGCTAAAGAGTTTCAACAAGTTATAAAGGTGTGCCTAATGATGCATATACATAGCCAAACATAATGAGCCCAAGAGCAAGTCAAACGGCCGTCTTGCTGATGAGTTATGGCCAGAACAGCGACAGTCACTGTCAGGGGTCAACCAACTAAGGAAATCACGTGATCTCGGCTATTTCTCCTCTTCGTTTGCCGCTCTTTCCCAGCGGTCTTGATGCTACCTCACAAGCTCTTGTATACAAGGAGGCACTATCCTCACTTGCTTATAAGAGCCCCCGGACATGGCCAATATATACTCTACAAGGAGCTATTCACCAAATGGCCAGCTTCCCAGTGTGGCCAGCTTCCCCGTCACATATAGTAATTTACCATGGGAACAATCCTCCACCCCCCAGACATAAAAAATCCCTGTTTCTTACTTATCTAATTTGTAAACAGATTAGATAAGGGAGAGTCGGGGATAGGATTCTACAATAAGTTTTGTTGAGTGTAACGTAGTCTTAGAATAATGTCAGTCAACTCGTTATACCTAAATCTTCCTGAGTAAAAATCTGATCGCATTTCTAGTTTATGTCCTAGTTTCATGACTGTTGAGCAGCAAACAGCGCGCAGGGTCACAGCGTAAGGCTTTACTTACATGAGTACAACGAGATAGAGTAAGAACTAGTTAAGTTCAGAGTACGATGCAAGTGCAGAGTTTAGATTGCTAGAATCTGAGGTACTTGACCTCTTTACAAGCAGTATTTATACTGTTTATGCTACCTAAAGTGGCCATAAACTAACCTACGAATGTAGTCAACTAGATAAGAGGTAAAAGTGCTACTGGATAGCTAAACTAAGGTCATAACCTAGACTTTGTCTAGAAGTACATTGAAGTCATGTAAAAGTCGTTATAAGTCATATATGAACTTCTACAATATTAACTACTTATCTACCAGTCGGATAGATACCATGAGATATGTAAGTAGAATTATGTAGCTGTCGAGAGCGGTTCTCTCAACAATGACCACTGCAGGGATTAAATGTTTGGACCTGCACTTAGCTTTCCTGATTAGATTCACTGAAATGGCAACAGTTGTATCACGTTGGATGCTATTTTATATATATGAAGCATCCTCTTGCATCATAACAGCCGGAGCAGACCGGAGCCAATAGAAGTCCGGGTCACGAGACGAAATCCAGTCGGCAATGAAGTAAAATGCCTCCCGGACGGCACTTTCAGGCACTAGCATGTGAATATCATTTTCAAAAAAGCCCGTCCATTCAACTCTTTCAAGACGGCTTCGAAGATCATTTCATCAAGTATGGAACGAGAACTAGCTGTAGGTTTCCCGTGCTCTTCAATGCGTTCGAGTCATCTTGAACCGGATTTGGTCAACATAGGTATGTAAAAGGAATGTTCATTTCCTACTCTAGAACGACCCAAACCTCTGGCGAGCGATACGCATCGCCGGTGACAGTCGTTTTATGGACCAGAACGGGGAAGATGTCGACCGTCAAACCTCCTCTGTGAATCGTATCAAACTTCCCGGCGGCATTGTTCAATTTTGTCTCTTTATCGTGCGAGTGCCTACTCCATCACAGATTCAAAAGATGTTTACGCAGTAAGTCTCCACGCGGTAACGAATCAACCCTCGGGTAACACGTTGACGTCCCAGATATGACAGAACGGACAGTGAGACACTCACAGCATGTGCCAGGGGAAGTGAAAACGGTTCATGGTCCGACGGAAGGTCCAGGGCAAGTCAACAAATCGTCTTTTTGTTATACTTACTCACGGCAAGGCCGAAGTATAAAAACGTAGAATGCATACTTGATGTTTACATATCTGACCCCCAAGGATGAAACTCGCCCTCTTGTCGGTGTTCTATGCCACGGTCATCTCGGTGACGACCGTGAAGGCGCAATCTCCTCAAGTCAAGGTTGGGAATACGACATTGACTGGAAGACTTGCAACGCCGGGGATTCCTGTAGATTTCTTTGGAGGTATGTGGAGGCTAGCTTTCCGTTGTTTTCTTTTTTTCGACAATTGACTTTATCGGAATTGTCAGGAATTCCTTTCGCTAAACCGCCTCTGGGTGAATTGCGTCTAAAACCTGCAGTGCTTACGACGACTTTGGATACCGAAACGTTCGATGCGACTAGCTATGGAGCTGCCTGTCTTCAAGTGAGCCGTGACAGTTGTTCTTTATGCCGTACACCGATGAGGGAAATTTAACACTGTTTATGAAACTTCTTCAAGTTGCCTAGTTCTTCAGTGCTTGTTCCTATGTCCGAGGACTGCTTGACAGTCAACGTCTTCCGTCCTTCTGGTACGCCCGCCGGCGCAAATCTCCCGGTCATGTTCTGGTGAGCCAATCCCACTTCGAGAAGAGAAAAGGAATACAACCGAGCGTCCCTTTTTTTAGGACATACGGAGGTGGTTTTGACGCAGGTGTCTCGGCGATTTACAATGCGACTGCTATTGTTGGCCAAAGTCTTGTTCGGGTACTGTTCCTTCTCTTTTGTTCCCATCTCCCATCATGACATAACTCAAAAATCAAAAATATCAAAAGGGAACGCCCATCGTCTACGTCAGTTTCAACTACCGACTCGGTCCTCTCGGATTCCCTCAAGGCAAAGAAGCTGATACACGTAAAGCTCTGAACTTGGCTATCAAAGACCAACATGCCGCATTGCAATGGGTTCAAGAGAATATAGGGGCTTTCGGTGGAGACAAGACCAAGGTAAATGTTCTATACCCAACGTTTTTTTAAGAACTTCTTGTCCCTTTTTTTAAGGACACACATGATCCCTTGACCATGGTTGGACCTGACTGCGAATTACATCCGCTCATGTTTGTTTTCAGGTGACAGCGTTTGGAGAGAGTGCTGGAGCGATTATGACCGCCATATCATTTTTGGATCCGGAATTTGGGAAACTTGCTAGAGCCGGCGTGAGTAACTTTTTCAGTCCTTCAGGTAATATTATACGCGGGGCAAGGAGGGACGCATGTGTTTTTGAGCGCTTTAAACTTGGAAAAAAACTAACGTTCTTCTGCCTAAAAAAACAGATATTCGAATCAGGATCTGCCGCGACTTCCTTGACATTCAATGCAGAACGAAGACAAGGCGCTTGGGAAACCTTTGTCGACAACGTACCCGGATGCGAATCGTTCGCTAAAACCGATTACACGTTTGGGTGTTTACAAAATGCTAGCACTGAGGCTATCCAGCAAGGATTGCTCGTTTCATTGACGAACACGACGGAGCTGTTCCCGTTCGATCCGACGATCGATGGACCTGGCGGGGTTTATCCCGATTTCGCGTCTAGGCTTTTCCAGAGGGGACATTTTGCCAAGTTGCCTTTTATTGCAGGGACTAACTTGGATGAAGGTATGTGTTTTTTTTCCTTTTCTTTCCTTTCCTTTCCTTTCTTTTGGTGTTTCTTTTCGGCGGACATCAAGAGAACCCGAGGGCTGTGTACTAATATCAGATCTGATTTCTTCCTCCATCTCTCTATCTCTTTGAAAAGGCACCGCGTTCACGCCGGATATCACGTACACCACCGAGCTGTTAGAAACCATCATCGCTGCCAACTTCTCACCTCCCGTCGTTCCCGTTCGGACGTTGGACAGCTCTATCACTCGGTTGTTGGAACTCTATCCCGATGATCCTGCCCTTGGATCTCCTTTTGGTACCGGGAATGAGACGTTTGGGAAGTTGCCTGGGTTCAAGAGAGCTGCCGCTTTGGGTGAGTTTTTTTTTCTTTGTGAATTTGATCTGAGCTGAGTTTTTCTCGGTGCTGATGAACTGATATATGATCAATTGGGTTTGGGGGATGAAAAAAAAAACGAAAACGCTGTGATGAAATGAATCGAACAAATTGAATGGGAAATGATTTTTGATCGGCGATCATTTGTAGAGGGTGATCTGAGTTTTCAATCCCAACGTCGATTGCTGTCGCAAACTGTCAGCAAGGCCGGAGTGAAAACGTTCGCATATCTTTTTACTCAGCCTCAACAGTCAGATCCAAGCCTCGGAGGTAACCATACCAAAACTTTTTATTCGTTATACCCTCATGTACTTAAGAAAAATTTCTTTTCTTTCCAGTGTCTCATGGTTCCGACGTCCTCTACGTCTATGGAGCCCCACGAAACGCGACACTATCAGATTCGAAAATAAGTCTCAACATGATTGATTACTGGGTTTCGTTCGCGACGAGTTTGGACCCTAATGATGGATTGGGATCGCCTCGTGAGTACAATCGCATTATGCTACATACTTACCTCGCTGTTTCGTTTCGTTTCGTTTCGTCCCGTTTCTGTTTTTCATCTCAGTTGGTACTTGAGGAAAGCTGGGGGGCGATACCCATACCGGCGGGTTGATAGACATGTTGTCGTTGTTGTCTTGTTTCCGTTCCTGTTCATCACTTGACGGGCGATCCCTGTTCCTTACTTATTTTACTACTTCTAGGGCCTAAATGGAGTCAATATACTCCTGAGAACCAGGTATGTAACTGTCAAACTTGAAAGCTTTACCCGCTAATGTATTGAATCTATGACTCTTTTTTGAAGGTTGTGATGCAATTGAACGGGGACAACACTACTTTGATCCCCGACGACTACCGCAAGGAAGGGATTGATTTCATCAACTCGATGCCTTTGGTTTGGCATCATAGACGCGCGCTCTGAGAGACTTGGTTTGGCTTGAAAAGGTGAGAAAAAATTGGTTCAAGCATTGACAGCGGACTGTGTAAAAGATGTGAAAGATAAATGGCATACATACTTAGTAGATTAACGATGGTATTTTGTTGTGAAATTCACGTAGTTTTGGAGAATCAACGATAAAAAGTTGTCCACGCCCAGGATTGAACTGGAGACCCTTGCATATCTCATGCGCCGGGGAAGAGGCAACCCATAAGTACAATGCTCTACCACTGAGCTACGCGGACGTGCTTAACCTTTTTCGTCAGCAGTTTATTAAAGGGACCAAAGTTTGGTGACACAAGTTAGTGGAGATTAGATTTACTACTTCAAGTCCAATGACCTAGTTCTTGATAGGTAGAGGCCAGAGAAGTACTAGTAGCAAACAACGAGATCTAGACTACTCGACTGAACACGTGTTGAACATGCTGCACTAGACTAATGGTTACGTATTCCACCCCAGTGCGTGTACGTCCTTTCATACTCACCTCCAGCTCTTCCGTAACTTGTTGGCCTTACTCAGGTAAGCTCCGCTATAGTATACATTTTTTGGAAAATTTCAATGCCATTAGTATCGTCTGCTCGGAGCCTCCGAGTCCAGCGCGAACGGACCAAGGACAACTTGGCTACGCACGATGCTCAAATTGGATTGCGAGATATCGATGGATCGAACAGAACGTAAAGCCCAGTGTCTTGACTGTCCTTTACCCTACGATTCTTGCGATCATTCCATCGCCATAATGGCGTTCTCAAGCTTCGCGGGGTTCCAACATAAGTCCTAACTTCCGGTTTCTTCTGTTATTCTGGCGATATGCAATGGCAGGATTGGATGAATAAGACTGCTTATACCTCGGAAATAGTGCGTCTCTCTTAACGTCTTCGTTCCACCGGAAGATGTCATCTTTCCTATCTAATGGTGGTATCATCTTGCGTCAAGCTCAGTTCCTTATTTGCCGTACATTTCCTTTTTCGTCATCGCTCGTTATTATATGGAGTAATTCTAATCCAGCTGCAGGTGCTGCTCTCGACCTCCCCAATTTTAGCAGCGATGAACCTTGTCTCTTCGCTCGTATTGAATTGATATGCCGTATATCCTTTCAACAAGCCAAAACTCTGTCTTAAAAGCTGGACATTTCTCGGAACAAGACGCTGAAGCGAGGTCCGCATCCGACTGTCTTGCCTCATGGTTCCGATACGGGCCGTAAGCAAAGATTTTCAAAAGGTCAAGTCCAAATCTGGTCTCTTAAATTTAGTCGCATTTCAGTTTGAAGACGAATACGCTGAGGCAAGTTCCATCTGTACCGGCTTGATTTAGACCTTGACCACGCTTAGTATAGCATCATGGACGGCTCCTTTTGGTTGTGTACAAACCTCGTCTCATAAAGCTTATAAGACGAAATCATTTGCCACGGACTAACGAACCCTCATACGACTCGAAACCTCATGCAAGTTCGCTACGCTTCGTTCCTAATCCTTCTCATCTTCTGCAATTTGGCGAAGACCCAACAAATCTGGGATATCGTCAGTCTCTTCATCGCTGTATCTTGCTCAGGCTGATTGATAGAGAAGCACGGATATAGTGGCAGACAACTTGGGATCGTTCCAAGCTTTTCACTTCCCTTGCCTTGACGACCCCTATCAACTTTGTCGCAACTTCAACGAGCACAGATGCTTCGATCAACATAGTTGATACAACGACTTTCCAAGACATAGCTGGATTCGGAGGATCGCTGAGTGAGTATATCCCACTATGTCCTTGTCGAGTTTATCTGATCTATGTATTTTGTCATCAGCTGACTCTGCAGCAAAGACCTTGAACAAGCTCAAGGTGGGAGGACTGTCAGAACAAGACTTTGAGACACTTGTTGACCACCTTTCAAGTCGACCAACTCTGCTAACTATTGGTCTCTTCTTAACTATGCCTTCAATATGGCCGATGGTGCCAATGCAGCCGGACTTAGCTACATCCGTGTTCCTATCGGCGCGACAGACTTCTCGGACACCGGTAAGCATCCCGAACAGAGTAAATTCACATGATTCATCGTGATTGACCACGTTTCTCGTATATGCGTAGTTTACAGTCTAGACACTTCCGCAGGAGATACGTCTCTCAGTAAATTCAACATGAATAACTCCCCTTCGTATCTGTATTCAGTCTTGAAGGACATACTGTCTGTGAATCCACACATCAAGGTACGACTCTGAAAAGATCACTGCAGTACCCTGATTTGCGGCATTGTCATCCTTTTTTCTATTGTTGTTTATGTTGCTGTCCCTGGGCTATAATTAAATTCGTTATGTTTCCCCGATGTAGGTCCACTTACTGCCTTGGTCACCGGTATGTCATATTTTAGACTACAAACTTCCACCTGATTTCACGTGCTGTTGTTCTCCCCTTGTAATCATGTCGATGCTCTCAGCCAGGGTGGATGAAAGATTCCGGGACGATGAACGGAGGGTCTCTGAATTCCAATATGATGGGTATATGTAAGCGCATCTCTACTGTCGCAGAGAACAAGATCAAACGAATCCGAATCCCCCTTCAGATCCAACATACCTGTTTAAAGCCGTACAGGGATTCCAAGCGATGGGCATACCCGTGTTTGCCATCGGTATCCAGGTACAGTGTTCTCCTCTTACGTCGCTGCTTGCCAATATTGCTTGTCGCTACCATGGCTTGGGACTCTTCGCCTTCCCCACTATTATGCACCAATTATTCTTTCTTATCTTTTGGTCCCCAGAACTAACGTGTCTAATTATAGAACGAACCGGAAAACTCTGACCCGACGTATCCTTCTTGTTCTATGCCCCCCGAAGTCGAAGGACAGCTTGGCGCGTCTCTTCGCTCCCTGCTCAATCAGAATGGTCTAGGAAGCATCAAAATCATTGGTTATGAAGTATGTGTACATGCGATCATCCCCAAAGACTTCATCATTTCTTTGCGCATCATAACTGATGTCTATAATACTTCTGATAGCATAATTGGAATGATGCTGGATCCTATCCCGTAACGCTTGTAAGTACATGCATATCTATGGCGTCTGCTATGATGGCATTCAAAGTCTTATCAATATGCTTATACGTTTATGGGGTAGTTGAATGACAACCCTAATGCTTTCGCGGGTGTCTCGTGCGTAAAGTCTACTTGCTAGTATCTGCCCACTTTTTCCTTCCTTTGATTGATGTCCCCGCTCCCAAATTAGGTTCCACTGCTATGGTGGTGGCAATGTCGCGAACCAAGATGCCTTTCATAATGCCTATCCTAATAAAGTTGATGAGCCTCCTCTTTTACCACTCTCGTTCTGAGCTCATTTATGACTGCGGTAGGAAATATACTTTACAGAGTGTACTGGTACAATCGGAAGTGATTGGTGGAGTGATATCAAGGTAAGAGCTTGAATTTTATCAAGAATAGTCGCTTTGAGTCTCAAAAGTCCTTGCAAAGTGGTATATGACAAATCTGTACGTACATTTCACGTATTCGCAGCTTTGACGCATACGGTCCTTACTTGACTCCGGGTGCGCGATCTCACGGACTCATCATCAGCTGGATAGGAAGCCTCCAGCATAATTCCAAAAGTGTGAGTACCATTTGTGTTTTGAAAAAAGAACCAAGAAGAAAAAGAGGGTGCAAAGTTCAATCCCGCCTGTTCGCTGATAACCTCATGTCGTTGCGTTCTTCCCCGTTGATTGATTGTCCTCTTTCTCCACAAAACTTTCTTATCTTTTATTCTGTTCCGCCTTCTAAATTCTTTCGCCCTTGCCCCTTTCTCATTTTGAACCCCAAAAAAAAAAACATGATACGGCGACCACCTTTTCAATAGGGTCTCATGTGGAATCTTGCGTTAGACGGCGACGGGCTTCCTGTTCTTCCAGGCTCGGATAGTTGCACCGGTCAGTGTCGTCCGATGGTCACAGTGAACGGCGACGGGAGTTACGCTTGGAATCAAGAGTTTCTTTCTATGGCTCAAGCGTCCAAAGCCATCATACCGAAAGACTCTGGTGGTCCTTTCGGTACGAGAATCGGCGTAAATGTCGCCGGAGCAAAGGCATCTACACTTGTAGTAGGCGCTTATGTGACTAGAAGAAATAATCCTTCGGATTGGTCGAGATATTCTGTTGTTGTGTTGAATGGTAGGTTTGGAATTTGACCCTTTCCTTTCGATGATCTCATCCCCGTGGATCATTTTCGCTGAACCTGAAAATAGCGAACGACGGGTCTGCTCAGGGTGGGTGGAATCCCCAACCAGTCGAGGCCTCTATCAACTTTCGAGGGATGCATGTAAGTGTCTTTCTTACACCATAAATGACGATTCCTTCCCTGTATCTACCCACTCAACGTCAAGTTTCAATCGTCGAGTGTGGAGTTGATATCATTCATTCATTTGTTCCCCTCAATCTTTTGTGGACTGACTTTTTTTTTTGCTTCTTCTAAATGGTATCTTTTTTTTAGGCCATCTACACGTTCCCGGTTGGTGTCACGACTCTGTGGTGGTATGCACCTTCTACGTCAACTTCGAAGAGGTACGCTCCAACGATGAACAACACGCTACTCTTCAACTCTAGTACAAACACGTCGGAGATAGTTGTCCCTGGTGAGAAACATTTATTAATTTATTTATTTATTCATCAGTCACACTGTCACCTCGAAAAAATTTACAGGGAAGAAGCCGCACCCGTACCCGCGAGAAAGAAGGACAGAAGCGAAACTCAGGGCTGGGCCTGTCGAAGCTCACATGAACGGCGCGAATCTCACGCTAGGACCTCAGACCACTGCAGCTAAGGATATGGTCAAGGTCATCAATAAGACTACGAATATTACTGCGAATACGAGACTGAATACGACTATCACAAATATGTCTTCAAATAAGACAGAGGACTCCACTCGTAGTTCGAGCAGTCAAAAGCACAACAGCGACGGGAGCATTCTTCCTTCCCAAACCTCGTTGGAGGGGACGTCGAACGTCACTTCGGTTTGATTTCGCTTGTGTTGGGAGGTGAACGAAAAGAGGTCATAAAGACATACAGATAACTCGTGTCAAGGTGCGGTGCCGTTATGCAATTGTTTTCGCTGTGTATTGAGCCATTTTATTCTGACGGTCCCTAATATTCCTAATAACATATGAACAAAATAGGTCCCTCCCCTCGTACGCGATGCGAATTGTGATCTTCCAAGTCAACGTTTCCAAGATTTTTCCATTAGGAACATCATCGTCCTATCGCTGTTTAGCGGTTTGTCATTTGCTGT